CTAGGCCCGGGGGTTTATAGTGTTAAAAAGAAACAACAGGCCGGGACTTCCCTGGCGGTCCAGTGGTTAGGACTCTGCACTTCCACTGCACAGGGCATGGGTTCAATCCCTGGTCGGGGAACTAAGATCCCACATGCCAAGTACAGTGTGGCCAAAAAATTTAAAAAAGAAAAGAAAAGAAACAACAGGCCTCAAATGCTTGCTTGTGCTAAGCTCATACCACCAAACCATGGCTTAATACCTAGCCTAACTGGAGTTTCAACCTTCCCCAGGAATGTAGTCTTAAACGTCAGTTTGGAATTTTCTGGTCAGCATCAATGAGATAATCTGCCACACAGATCTTTTCCATCACCCAGAGGAAGATGAGGTCATCTGCTCTTCCCTTGATCCCTTCCCCCTTCTGCCTATAAAAGCCTTTCATTTTGTATAGCTCCTCGGAGCTCCTTTCTACTTGCTAGATGAGATGCTGCTCCATTCACGAACTGTTCAATAAAGCCAATTAAATTTTTAAAATTTACTTGGTTGAATTTTTGTTATTTAACAACAGTGATGACAATCCTGGGAAAGAACAATAAAGACAATATGATTCATTTATTGTGAGGCTTTCACATATAATCTGCTCTTCAAGTCCGTGATCTAAACAACACAGGTTGTGTTATCTACATATTACATGTGAGGAAAAAGAGAAGTTACAGAATTTGCCTAAGGTCACACAGCAAACAAGTGTGAAAGTTATATTCAAATATTGTATGGATATTCTCATTTCTGCCCTTTTATTTTTTATTTTATTGTTATTTTTACTTCTACCCCCTTTTTTTTTTGCGGTACGCGGGCTTCTCACTGTTGTGGCCTCTCCCGTTGCGGAGCACAGGCTCCGGACGCGCAGGCTCAGCGGCCATGGCTCACGGGCCCAGCCACTCCGCGGCATGTGGGATCTTCCAAGACCGGGGCACGTACCCGCGTCCCCTGCATCAGCAGGCGGACTCTCAACCACTGCCCCACCAGGGAAGCCCACTTCTACCCTTTTAAATAAACATTTCTCCAAAGTTGATTTGCTTAATTCAGGAGGCAGTATTATGGCATGATTAAAAGTATGGGCTTTGAAGTCAGATAAACTTGGGTTGGAATCTTGGTTTGTTTGCTTACTAGCCATGTGACCCCAGACAAATTAGTTAACTTCTCTGAATCTCAGCTTCTTAGCTGTAAAATGGGAGAAGGAGTAAGACCACATCCCTCAGAATTGTTGGGAAAATTAAATGAGATTATAAAGTTCCAAATGCTACAATTATTACCATTATCTGGAGGAGAAAGGAAGAGAATAAAGGGAAAGAGGAGGCAAAAGAAGACAAAGAGAAAAAATGTCAATTTACCATTCCAGCCCTGTCCTGGCCATTGGACAGACAGCTGGCTTGGCTGTTTTTTGAGGTTTCCTTAAAGGAGGGAGCACAGAAGGGGTGCTGCTCTGGTGTTTGCCCCTGGAGGTGCCACGTGGAGGAGGTGCCATGTGGAGAAGGTGACAGTGGGAAGATGGCAGAGCACTAGCTGCAGGCTCTCTCTTATTCTTGGGACCTTCATGTCCACCAACAGAGACCTTACCCTCCGACCTTTCCCCCTACTCACCAGCTTCCCCCGCAGCAGAGCCGGTTTCCCATGGTGCTCTGTCTCCCAGGGAGCCCAGCTGTTTTGCTATAGATAGGGGCTTGTGCATTTCCTGGTTCCCAGTTCAGCTTTCAGTAGCAGCTCCCAGGGAGTCTCCGTCAGGGTCAGATTTCAACCTAACAGGTTGGACTTTGGAAGCCACCTGCTGGAAAGATTCCCAGGTGACTGCTCCCAGCCAAAGGGTAGAGGAACACACACGGGCTCCAGGTGAGAGCAATCTCACCTTCGGGATTTGGAGCTACTTTGATGAAGCGTTAACTTTTGAGCTTCAAGCTTCAGTGAGAAGAAACCTGAGACAGAAAAGGGCTCTGGGTTTCCTTAGGAAATGTTTCTCTACTACCTCACACTGTCATTGAAATGTATCGTCTATAATAAAGAGTCTTACCTATGTTTCCCCAGCACTACGCAGGTCTAATTGAGTTTCACTTTCAAGGTAATCGGTGTCAGTCTCTTATTATCCTTGTCCAGAATCTGGGATTGAATACTGGACTCTTTTAGAAACTAAAATTTAGGGAAATGTATTCCTTTCGTATTCTCCCTTGCTATTGGAATTAATGTGGGCAAATCACTTTTTTCTAGGACTGTAAAAATGGAGGGCTGAACTCATTACTTAATCCCATTTCTGGTCAAAAATTGTAAGATCCTATGATTGGAATGGTCTCAGCACTTCTTAACCACTCACTTCCCCATCCCCAGTACAGAACTACGGAATCTCCGTTTAATCTCAACTCAGCTTCTCCTCCAATGACCTGAAGCTGATTCATTCCACACTCACTGGCAACTAGGATGAAGTTGAGCAAATTCCTCTGTAGAAAATAGGGGCTCTAGGAGAATTTGTGGAACCTGTATGGCTTGTCTTCAGTGTTCCCACCCCCTCTTTAGTGTCTTGTTCGGATGCCCAGTTATTTGTGTGTCCCTTATGGATGTTCAGGACCCAGCGCTCAGCTCTGTATTCCACAGAGAGTACCCTGGACGCTTCATTCCTCCCCATCTTCTTTCCTTATGAAAAATGGAGATAATAAGAGTCACAGCCTTGTAGGATTGTGGTGAAAATTAAATGAGATAATGTATATAAAACTCTAGTCCAGGGCCTGGCACATGGGACCCTCTCAGTAAGTCCTAGCTATTGTTATTATTATTACTTCTTTTTCTCAGCTAATTGTTAGATGGTAAAGCATCTTACTTTATTGTCTGGTGATGGATCATTGCACTAGCCTCTTATTTCATGGCCGTGCTTCTCCTTGGCAATCCATTCTGTACTCTACCATTAACTGTATTCTTTTCATCATGTTACCCAAACTTCTTAGCTTGGTACTCAAAGCCCTCCACAATCTCGGTCTCTTTCTAGCTACTTTCTCTAATTTAAAGAAAAAATTTAAAGGAAAACATGTGAGATTTTTATATGACCAGAAATTCCAAAGGAACCAACACTGTGTTGTGGTAGCCAGAAAATCTTATATACCCAAAGCACCATTTATAGAAGTCTAGAGTGATAAACAACGGTATTGATTATTCCACTGAAGTCTGTACCAGTCAGTCCATGATTGGAATAATAATTTTAGGTTTACATGTTGAATTTCAAGTTACAGTGTCAAGAGGCAGTGTATTGAAGAGAAAGTTGTCTGAGTTATAAGTGGTATGGAAAGTCCTATAAAGTACGGTTAAAAGAATTAGGCATGTTTAGTTGGGAAAGGGAAGCTTTTGGAGGACAGGATGGTTACTTTTAAATATTTGAAGGGACTCTCAAGTGAAAGAAGGATTGCATTTATTTTCTGGACATAACCTGAACCAATGGGCAGAAGTTACTGAAATGCAGATTTTGGATCAATGGAAGGAAGAATTTATAAGAGATCTGTCCAAAAAGAAAATGAAATGGGCTACCTTATGAAGTTCTAAGCCCTCGGTCACTGAAAATGTCCCAGAAGTTGGCTAATAATCTTCAAAGTATTTGAATGGGATGGGGATTTGGACAAAATCAGAGGCTTCAAATTTTTTTCTAGCTAAGGAACCCTTTCTTTTAAATGAAGCTCAGGTAAAAATTCCAACTACGAAACAGATCAAAGTGAAGCCATTCTGGTTGAAGTCTGAATAGGATCCTTTTACAATTCTTTTTCTTCTCAGCTAGATGTTAAGATTCCTGAGAGTAGACAACAGAGGAGTATAGCTTTAAATTTATATTTACAATGTATAACCTCCATAGTATATTACTTGGGGTTTAATAAATATTTGTTGAATAAGTGAACAAAAGAATACATCAATAGTTATTTCTCTAAGGCATGCTTTAATTTTTAATAGACGGCAATCCTTTAACCAAGAATTGTATTCTTCAAGTGAGAGTTCTTATCCTGGGGGTCCACAGATTCCCTAAGAGGGGCATATGAATGGATCTCAAGAGCTGTGTGAACCTATTCAAATTGTATGCCAAATTTCTCGGAGCATGTGTGTTTTTCTGCTAAGATGATCTATTGCTTTTGTCAGATTTTTCAAGAGGGTCCGTAAAAAAAGTTAAGAATCAACCACTTTAATGGAAGAATTTCAGATGTCCATCACAACCTAGTAAAAGATATATTTGGGGGCAGGGAGGTCTTCTGGACACTCCTCAAAGCATACACATGCATGTTCTCTTGATTACAGAGAGTAATTAAGAGGTCAACCCCCCCACCCCCCAGGCTTTCCTGAATGCATCATACCCCTAGTATTAAGACTCTACTTTCAAAGGAAGTTTCCCTGGCCATCACCACCATACCAATAACCCTAGCTCCCCTGCATTTAGACTTGGATTGGGTGGAGTGATGCAGCGATTCCTCTCTTTGGGATGTTTCAAGGTTAGAAACAAATGCTTTCTCTCATAGGCAGAGGGTGGGGAGGCTTTGTGATTTAGTGACAATGGCAGAGGCTTCTGTGTCTGTGCCCCTGTGTTTGCATACTCCATCCCTCAGAATCAGAGACCATTTACAGTGGACAGACCTTAGTATGGGAAACCAGGGCTTTAGGCAACTCTGCAGCCAAAAGCTGTTTTCCCAACCCCTACCCAAAACAGGCCAGACAGCCTGGAGACCCTTGTTTTTGTGTCTCTAATCACCAGCTCAGACAGTGCCCTCTGGGCTGTTTGGATGGCATATCCCTTTTCCCTCCCAGGATCACTCTCTCTTTTGTTGCATTGTGAGAAAATTATGGCCAGGAATTTGATCTGGAGCCAGTGTCAGCTTCCAGGTGTGATCTCAGGGTGCTATGATATTGGGTACATCTAACTGAGGACCTTTTTGTCTAGCTGTCCTTTTTGTCTCCCTCCCTGCCCATCCCATCCTCCAGGCCACAGAATAGCGAGCAGCACAAACAAGGCCCTGAGATTTGGGTTTATTCAGCTCCACCCAAAACTAAATGAAAACATTATGACACGTCCCAAGGGACCAAACCATACATTGTGACCATGCACTTTTCCCTTCCCCCAAGGATGCTGCTACCTCTGGGGTGGTGAGCAGCTAGTCCTATCACCGCGGGAGCTAGAAAGGGTGATGGGTCTGTGGCACTCAGGGCTCAACACTGGCTGCCTCCTCTTCCTCTGGATCAGGAGGTGCAGGGAGCAGGGAGATGTAGACCTCATTGACTTCTGTGTCCAAATGTCGGCCACCCCGAGGCGCCTCCAGGTTGAGGATGCCATCATGGGAGAGAGCAGCGCGGACCCGCCAGGGGTCAACATCAGCAGGCAGGACGTAGGTTCGGCAGAACTCTCTGGACACGAAGCCATGGCGGTCCAGGCGCTGGGGGTGCCGGGCAGACACCTCCAGTAGGTTGTCCACAGTCCTCACGGTTACCTCATCGGGGGTAAAGTGGCTCACATCCAGAAACGCCTGGAACTTGCCCTCACTGAGCCGAAGCTCAGAGGCCCCTGCCCTGCTGCCCTCCCCAGCTTGGGCAGCCCGGGGCCGGACATAGTAGCCATGGTAGAGGGTGGGGGTCAGGATCTCTTCCGGCAGGAGGCCTGAGGGGCAGAGAGAGAGAAGGCAAGAGGCAGGATGAAGGAGGATGGGGTGGGAAGGAGGGCGACACGAGAGCAGATCAGGAGGTGAGGCCTCGGGAGAGCTGGAGGGGGGTCAGGAGAAGCAGGGAAGGGGAAGGAGGGGTCCCAGTGGCTGGAATGAGGCGGCTGGGGAGAGGAGATTGAGAAAGGGAATGAGCTGGGATGAAGAAGAGCAAACCAAACTGCGTCTGGGTGGTTCGCAGGGGAGGGTATCAGAGCACAGCGGGCAGCAGTCCGCACCGAGGTCAGTAGGAAGGGAAGCGAGCCCTGCCCGGAGGGGGGTGAGGGGGGAGTCTGGGGTGGGAGACGGCTTGCCCCAGGAGTTCAGTTAAGCCCAGAGTGGGGTGGAGGCCAGTATCATTGGGAGGTCAGCCCAGAATTTCAGCAGGTGGGGGTGGGAGGCAAGGGGGTGGCGTCCGTGCCATACCTTCCCCGAAGCGCTGCTCGCCCAAGCGGCTCGGGTTGGCAAACTCGTACTCGGCGGTGGCCGGGTGGGCATGTGGCACCGAGCGGCCCGACATGGCTGCAGACCCGCCGGCGGCCCCGGCTCGAGGTGCGGCCCCAGCAGGCGCAGCAGCACCCCTCCAGCTGCCGCAGAGCCCCGGCGCACTCGGAGGTGGGGGCGGGGTCTACACCACCCAAAATAGTGCCGAGCCCGGTGGGGGAGGGGCGGGCAGCGCCCGCGTCGAGTGTGTGGCCCGCGCCGCCTGGACCCCCGTCCCCTCCGCTGCACACCCTTCAGCTGTCACGGGGGCCCCCCCCCCCCGGGGGG